ACTGAGTCTACCAGGTTGATCGCAGTCCTCGGGGGAGGATTTGCCCTGGAGGAGGTAGGAATGGGGGGTGGGCTGGGGTAAGGGGAGGGAGTGGGAGGGGGGAGAATAGGGGAACCTGTGGCTGATATGTAGAACTGAATGGTATTGTAAAATAAAATAAATAAAATTTTAAAAAAAAGCATGGTGGGAATATTTGTGAATTGGAAAATACTCCCCATTGAGAAATAGTGTCAAGAATAGATTATACAACAAAAGCAATTTAAAATGACTCAATAGCCTATCACATAAGTTGGGTGCTGAAATGAATGGCTGTGAGTACCATAGCAACCAGTAACAAAAAATGGAGGCAGAGCCTCGGCTTCTCTGTATCATTTCCCATCATTCATTAAAGATATGTGGGCTCCATCCATGGCTAGATTAAAATCTGTATTATTTAGTCTAAGAGTAGTGAAAGCAATTTGAGTATGATAGCCTACATTAAATAACATTTTTTTAAATTTATAAATCATTGGATTTCCCAGTCAAATGGTAAGAGATAATAATTGCTGATGTCTGGTATGGGAATTACCCAATTCAATATAGTTGGAGAGAAAATGAAGTGATTTCTTCAGCAGGCAAAGATGTGTCAATTGTCACATTTCATTGTCTGTGTAGAGCTAGTGAAATCACACCCTTGCCAGTTGGCAAATTCCTAAACTATTTGCCTGCTTGTTAGAATGAAGTTCAACTGATCGAAATATTATCTGATCCTCCTGTAGACAGCCAAGTGAATCTCATCAAGTTGGGGTACAGCCTTTAGGGACCACCCTAGCACCCCAGCATGTGCTCATACAGCTTTTTGAAAATTACCACACGAGTTGCAAGAGAGATTATAACCAGTACACACATGGAGGAGCATCCCAACACAAACCATGAACTTCAACATGGATTGAGGAATATGGGAGACAAATGGTGGTAATTGATGATGTTTCTCTAGGTTCTGAGGCCATCAGGAGCCTCAGTGTTAATGAAAAGCAGTTCCAAGTGTTGCCATGACAAGCAGCTTCTCAGGCATGACTTCTGTGTGTAGAGGGGAAAGCCATTGATTGCTAGTCTTGGCTTCTTATCTCAGAAGAAACGAGGAAGCTTTCAGCTTTACTAGGTACCTACTGTATTCATGAGTGACCCCACTAGTTTTTTTTTAAAATAACATCTCTAAATAATTCCAATTTGATAGAGACCTTGAAAACGTTAGAAACGTGTCCGTGAATGCCACCAGCGCAGCACATGTTCATGCCAACATCCAGATCATGATGGAAGATGCAGAAAGACTGGCCGCTGATGCTCAGGAGACTGCAAATGAAACAAGCTTGGTGAGAAATGCCCAGGGCTTCGTTGTGCCTCTTCCTTTTCTGCATGCCATGAATGTCTTCTAGAACAGCAGTGCTCAACCCGTGGGCCACGCGACCTCTTTGGGGATCAAACAGTTTTCAGGGGGTTGCCTAAGACCATCAGAAAACACAGATATTTGCATTACAGTGCATAACAGTAGCAAAATTACAGTTATGAAGTAGCAACAAAAATAATGTAATGGTTGGGGGTCACCACAACATGAGGAACAGCATGGGCCACAGCATTAGGAAGGTTGAGAACCACTGCTCTAGGAGGTTTTTGAGTGTACACTCAAATGTATTTAGACACATTCTTTCCTGGTAAAATCTGTTTGTTTTTGTTTGTTTGTTTGCCGTATCATTTGCCCTTTAAATAATTTTTAGAGAACAGGGTTTCACTACGTTGCACTAGGCCTAGCCTTCAATTACTGAATTCAAGTGAGTCCCCCACCCCAGCTTTCTGAATAGTTAGAAATGCATTACACCATCTCACGCTATGTTTTTAGTTGTTTTTGCTTCTTTGTGAAGAGTAATGACTACAATTAAAGAGGAAATCTCAGTTTCTTCTGATAAGGCATTGGTGCTGTCTGATACCCACTTGACATTTGATTTACCCACATTTTATAATGTGGGTAATGATTTACCCACAGCTTTATAATGGCCGATGGCCTTCTTTATAGACTTACACATGTCTCTGCGTTCTTCCTCTCAGACATCGAATTTCCCCTCTGGCTCTGAGGTGGACTTTCTGATTTGGAAGCTAACTGCTGCTCCTCCGATGGGGCTGCTCTCTCTTGGAGGTTACTATGTGTGAATTGTTCTGTTTTTCAGGTCTTGGAATCCCTGGTGTCTCAGGGGAAAGCAGTTCTGCAGCGCACGTCCAGATTTCTAAAAGAAAGCATCAGTGCCAGGAGGAAGCAGCAAGGTCAGTTTGCATTTGGAGGAGCAGGATGAGAGGCCACGTGTCAGTGAGCATCCTCAGAGATCACTCTCCTTAGAGCCATTGGAAGCTTCATGTGTGTCTTCCTCTCCTTCACGTTGTGATTTCGCCTCATCTCAGCATCGTGTGATTGTGAATCTTTTCCTAGCGTCGTCACTTACTTGAACGTGCATTCTTCTCTGTACTGACGCCTTCCCTGTGCCCACATTCCAGGGGTTACCTGAGTTAGTCTCACTGCTGATCTTCCTGGTGTATGTGCAGATGCTCCTCTTTTTTTTCTCAAACATCCCAGTCCCTTGAAGAAATGAGTTATATCTGATGCTATCTTTACATTTTTTTTTCATCTGGCTGGAACCTGATAGGCCCTCCTTGAAATGTTACTGGATTAAATCATAAATGATAAGTCCTTTTCCATAAACACCTATACAGTCCAAGAGTGTACAAGTTCAGTATACAAGCAATCATCTAGGACATGTATGATGAGCGTAACATAAAATGGCAAGAATCTGTTCTATATGAGAAAATGTGCAGGCATTGAATATTTCTTAATGTATAATATGCTTCTCACATTGATGCAGGAAATTTGTAGGGGTATCATAAGACCCTCCCATAGCTCCATGAACCAAGGGCTAGACTTTGCCATAGCTGTCTGATTCAAGAGCTAGGTCCTACTGTAGCAGACTGACCAAAGGTTTGGGCCCAGCAGTTTTGTTTGTTACTCTGTGATAAGACAAATTAGAACCTCCCTTGTTCTCTGAATATTAGATCTTCCCAATTCTCACTCACCAGCTCAATCATAAATGCTGATAGGTTTTGGCTTCATTTTGCAGAGGTAAAGGTCCTCCTAGGCCATTGAATTGTGAACTTCTTGACAGTTAAAATTCCATGCTTTAATCATGTGTTCATAATGCTCAAAGTGGTTTCATGTTATGAACAGAAACTGCAGAAGTTTTGATCCAACAGTGTAAATTAAAATCAGAGGAAGTTAAGGAGTCCAGATTCGGCAGGTGAAGAGAATACCAAAGAGCTGATTGGCCAGAGTGGCAGGTTGGGGACCCTAAAGAGCCAGGCCTGCCACCATCAGGGTTTGACAGAGGTGGAAAAAAATGGCAGGTTCCAGCACAGGAAGAAAATTACAGTCTGACAGTTTTAACATTTCTTCATCTATGTGCTTTTATGAACTTAAGCACAAAATTCAAGAACAAGTAATAGGGCAAAAGGCATTAGCAAGATAGAAAGAAATGATCAGACAAACCAAACCCATCCCCAATGTCTTCAATGAATAGTGCTCAGAATTGCTGGGGGATCTCTCCATATTGAGGCGTCTGCAGGAACCTGTATACTCGGTAGATGGATGAGGAATGATAAAGCTGTTACCTCGGTAGTGTTTTAGCAAACTAACCTACAGCAGACCCTTCCTTCCCCTTCACGTAGGTATTACATTGAAGCTAGATGAGCTGAAAAATTTGACGAGTCAATTTCAAGAGAGTGCGGATAATATTACAAGGCAGACCAACGACTCCCTCTGGATCCTGAGAGAAATTCCTGGAGGTAAGCAGAGATGCGTTTCGTGGTGTAATTATCTTCTTGTTGTGAAAGCGGTCCACAGAAGCACGAGGAAGTCCTGCCTGATGTCTCATTAGGAACTACAGTAAAAAATGAGACCAAGATTGATTAAGCTTCAACTTGAGAGGGAGTGTGATTTAGAGATGAAGATCATGAAACTTTTTAAAACAAACACATCAAATCACACTCTAAAACGTCATGATTACACTCTGAAAGGCTTTAGGGGCTTTTTTGTAACCACCTTAATCACTGGCTTTCAAAACGGGTTTGACACAGCACTTTGGGGACAGAGGGACCTTCCAAAGAGGCCAAGAAGAAGAGAGAACGGGATTGCCTCCCCTTGGAGGGGACGCCAGACTCATTGTGAACGTGGTAAATGCAGGAATTCTCATTTTGTGATCTTCCTCCCTCGGACGGGAAAACATTATAAAGTCAGCCTGTTGATTTCATGTGGATGATTTGGAAACACGTGGTTCTCCAACACTTTAAATAAGTTTGAGTCATAACCCGAATGAATCGTGGTCTCATGCACTGTGTACGTGACCCCAGGTCCCCTTGCTTGTTTCTAAGGCTCAGCTGGGGCTTTCTCACCTGGAAATGTCTCTTTCCATTGCTTTTTACCACCCCAAGGAAAATGATCCTTCAACTAATTTAATAAAACACTCACGTTTTTATTTGGGCCTAGTTAAACTGACAGGCAAGTTGAGAGAGAAGGGAAGGTCTGCATAGGGATTTTCTCGCTTATTTTCTGGGGTCTTCTGGCCTCAACCTCGTGACTGTGTTGTGGCTCCTTCCTGGGGCTGGCATGGCAGGTATGTGGCACCGTGCCTAGCTTGATTGCCGTACACTTTTATATGGCTTCTTCCGGAGTGAATATTTTACTCTGTGTTCTGAGACAGACATTCTCAGCCAGGTGTCCTTGAATAACAGAATTCTTTTCCCTTTGCAGCCATGTCCTCCCAAAGCTACTGCCCCTTGTAGTAGCAGCTGGTCCATGTCGTGACTAAATACCACTTTGTCCAGCTGCGGCCACTTCCCCCTTGGTTACAGGCTTAAGTTCCAGAGCCTTCTTCTCCAGACATGAGATGATGTGGGGTGAAGCTGAGAAGGCTTACAGACAGGGACTAACTAGAGAAGTCTGGGGCTGGAGAGATTATTCAGCGTGTAGAGGCGCTTGCTGCCACACCTGGGGACCCGAGTTTCATCTCTGGACCCCACACACTGGAAGAGAGAAACCTCCTCCCACACCTTGTCCTCCGGCTTCCAAATGTGTATCATAGTCACGAACACTCACACATACACACGCACACACTAAATCAATACGTAAAATATTAAAAGTACTTTCAGTGAGTGTATCACCCCAGAGCTGGACTAAGGGTATGGCCACTAGCCACTGCTTTTTGTAGTCTCGCTGTGCAACTGAAGTAATGTTCCAGAGTATTAAATATCCAAGTTATTTCATTGGCTCTTTAGTGGGGTGATAGAAAATATGAACATGCTGCCTTCTTTGACGTGAGAAAGCGAGAAGCCTTGTTTTGTATTCAACAAGAAAAATGGTGGTTGGAATGTGTGTAAAATGACATTTGTGGTTTTAAGACTTTTCTCTGAGTCTTCAGCGGGGCGCATGCTTGTCCTTGCCTTTATTTTAGGCATGAGAGAGAAGGGGAGAAAAGCCAGAGAGCTGGCCACAGCCGCCAACGAGAGTGCCGTGAAGACACTAGAGGACGCCCTGGGTTTAAGCCTAAGGGTCTTCAACACATCAGCGGACCTGTCCAGAGTGAATGCCACAGTACAGGAGACAAAGGACCTCCTGCGCAACTCCACGATGACCAGTACGTCGGTGGTCTTCCTCCCTATTTGGAAAGCCTTTTGGCCTGCTGATTGGGAGAGATCTGGGTGCACAGGGATGCGGAATGAAACTGTCCTAGCGTGTAGATTTCCACTCGGGAAGGAGAGGGGGCCCCAGGGAGTGCACATTGCTGGTGTGTGCGTTGTCCATATATTTCAGGGTTTGATCACTCTGTTCCGTCTTATCCGGTGTCTTAGTAATGAACACTTCCCTTCCCTCTTCTCTCTCTTGCCTCCCTGTCCTTGTTAGCCCTGTTGGCTGGAAGGAAAATGAAAGACATGGAAATACAAGCCAACCTCCTATTTGATCGACTGAAGCCTTTGAAAACGCTAGAAGAAAACCTGAGTAGAAACCTGTCGGAGATCAAGCTTCTGATCAGCCGCGCCCGGAAACAAGCAGCTTCGGTGAGCTGGGCTTGTGGCTCAGAATCCCACAGCTCCCAAAGCCTGGGCTCCTGCTCACAAGTCTTGCGGAATTCAGCGGGCCTGGCGCTCAGCCACCCCAACTCCCCTGCAACTTCTACAGGCCCAGATCTCAATAACCTCATGTCCTCTTAGGATATTTAAACCATCTTCCTCAGAATCCTGCTCATATTTAAGAGTTCAAAGACTCTTAAGAAAAAGTTGTCCTTACTGTATGGGGATTAATACATATATAGTTAATGCCTGACTTCATAACTTAGCCTTGCTGCCATGAAGACATTAAGTCTAGTGGTTACATCTGGTTCTGTTCCTTCAGTTTACCAATTAACTTTTAATGCTGGTGGTACTCTCCAAATTGAGTAGCACGGGCCTCACCCTCCAGGACTCTGAGCAAACACTCTGTATACATGCAGATGCTGTACAAGTGTACTTCACTAGGTATGTGAGGTGGTAACAGAGAGGTCAAAGTTGGGGAATCGTTCAGTAACTACCCAGGGATCAATTCACTTGTTTTAAGCATGTAGTAAGCCTCCTGAGAGAGTATACAGTTGCCACAGTGTGGAGCCCTAGAGGGGAAGAGCTTGACTCACCCCAGCTTAGTCTTTCTGTAGCTTTCTAGGGAAAGGCACTCTGGGTTCTCCAAGAGTCTTCCTTTCTATTAAAGGATGCAGGCTCCCATGCACTCTTACTTCCCTCGGTATCATGGACAACCCAAGAAAGTGTACGACAAACTTAGAGTTCTAAATCCCATAGTTAATGCAGACTTAGACAAGTGGAAATTAATAGAAAATCTATACACAGATAATTATGAAGAGAGCAAGCAATATGTAATAAATAATGCTCTATAGCTATTTACTGAGTGATAAAATAAATATATTACCCCTGCATTTATTTAACAAATGATCATCAAATACTTATTCCAGGCTTTTTCTTTTGGGCCACCAACCTGCTCCCAAATCATGACACAGAGACTTACTATTAGTTTTGAGTGTTCGGTCTAGCTTAGGCTCATTGCTGGCTGGCTCTTTTAACTTGAATTAGCCTGCTTCTCCACATCTACCTTCTGCCTCAGGGCTTACTACCTTTCCTGCTTCTGGACATCTTACTTTCACTGCTTCTCTGGCTGGTTGGCGTCTGCCTGGCTTCTTGCCCTGGGCATGTCCCTGCTTCTCTCCTTCTCTCCTTCTTCTTCCTTCTCCCAAGCCTAGATCCCCCGCCCCCATTTATTCTCTCTACCTGCCATCCCTGCCTATCCTTCCTCTCCTAGCTATTGGTCATTCAGCTCTTTGTTAGACCAATCAGGTGCCTTAGGCAGGCACGGTGAAACAGATGCAACACATATTTACATGATTAAACACACATCCTGACATCACTGAACAAATGCAGCATAAACAAAAGTTACACACTTTTACACAGTTAAAGTAATATTCCACAGCATAAACAAATGCAACCTATCTTTGCTTGGTTAAAAGAATAATCCACAACAGATCCTGACTGTGGGTCAGGTGGTAAGAGTCCATAGTCACAAGGTATTAAATCTTGTATAAATGAGACAGTGCCTTATGTAAAAGAATCTATTGAAA